GTCCACGGCGGGCTGCTGCACCGCCGGCGGCGGCGCCGACGGCTGGTAGTAGGGCGCGTACGTCGGCATCGACGGCGGCGGGAAGAAGGGCGAGTACGGCACCGGCGCGGGCGCGAACTGCCCCAGCTCGAGCGCCGCGGGCCCCGGCACGACGCCGCCGCCCACCGGCGCGCCGCCGCCGTTCACGAGCGGCGGCGGCGCCAACGACGGCGGCCGGGGCGCGTCCGGCGACGCCGCGCTCAGCCGCGGCGCCTAGCTACGCGACGTGGTGTCAATCGGCGCGCGCCGCCAGACCCCGCCGAGCGGTGCGCGAGCTGCGCAAAGACTCCGAGCATGGTCGCGACGCGCGGGCGCGGCCCAGAACGACCTTACGTCCCCGGATCGACCCCTGCGCTCGGCGGAGCGGTGCCGCTAGCTCGTCGATCCTGAAATAAAGAAGGAGGCTACCTAAAAAACAAAACCCGACGGCATGACGGATTTTTGGTGCCGGCCACCGGCGCCCACCCACCCACCTCCCGACCAATCAGCGAGCTCCTTTTTCGTTGGTTGCCTTCAAGTTGCCGCGTCGCGCGCCGCTGATTATCGCTGAATTGCCACACCGCGCGCGCGGGACCGCGCGGCGCCGCGGTTCGACCGGGAGTCGCCGGTGCCGCTGCAGGAGCCGCCACCGTGCAGCCGCGGGTCAGCCGACGAACGCCGGGCGCGGCCCGACTCGACGAGGACACCGCCGTGGCCCATGGCACCTCCTCCCGGCTCCTGGCGCGGCGCGGGACGCGGGACGCGCGCGGCCTCCGCGCGCGCGCGCGCGCGCGTTACAAGTACCCTTTAAGTACACGTCGGGTTTTTAAAACCCGACCTCCGGGCCCACCCACCCACTGGGGGATGCCGTCGGATCTTTTGTCCGTGGTCGACTCTCGCCCGTCGCCTTGTTTTTTGCGCAGCGACAATTGAACGTCTGGTGCAGTGATGGTGAAGCCTGTGAGAGCATGGAGCGTGCAAACATGACGAACGAGCGAGCTTGAGCAATCGCAAAGACAGCCTCGAAGCACTAAAAACACCAATGCTCAAAATCCTGCTGCTCTGCGCCGGCGCCGGCGCCTTCGCGCCGCCGCCGCAGCTTAGACACCATCGATGCGCGGCGCCGCGGCGCAACAAACACCATCGATGCGCGCCGCGGCGCGCGGCGTCGCAGAACCAGGCGGCGAACCCGGAGACGAAGATCACGTCGGACTACGTCGCGACGCTCTTCGACAGCTTCGCGGAGAACTTCGAGGAGGTGCTGGAGTCGCTCGACTACTGCGCGCCCAAGTTCGTCGGCGACGCCGTCGCCGCGCTCGCCGCGTCGCGGGCCGAGCCCTACGGCGCCTGCCTCGACGCGGGCTGCGGCACGGGCCTCGCCGCGCACGGCCTGCGGCCGCACGTCGCCGCGCTCTACGGCGTCGACCTGAGCCCGGACATGGCCCGGTTGGCCGAGGAGCTCTGCTACGAGGACGGGCCGGAGAACCCGCCGTCGCGGAGCGAGGCCGCGGCGCGGCGGGCCATGGGCTGGCCCCGGCTCTACGACGGTGTGTCCGTCGGGAATTTATTGGACCTCTCGTCCGTCGACGGCCTCCCGGAGGGCGCCTTCGACCTCGTCGTGGCCGCCGACGTGCTCTGCTACTTTGGGGACCTCGAACCCGTCGTCGCGGGCCTCGCGGCGCGCCTCGCGCCGGGCGGCGACCTCGTCTTCTCCGTGGAGACGCTGCCCGAGGGCGACTACGCCGGGTGCTCCAGTGCCAGGAGCGGACGCC